GATAATTATCTGATCATGCAAGGCCACCTTCCCGGTCTTCTTAGGGTCACACTTGCTGCTTCTGCACAGAATCCTGTCTCCCCTTCTCTTATGCCATGCCCACTGTGTGGCTGCTGGGGCTCCTGCTCGCTTCTCATCACCGTCTTATGGATTCCTTCTGCTTTCTGCCAGTGACTCCAATTTTATTTCTCCAGTTTGTCCTTGGCCCAGGATTCAGATCTAGGCTCCCGGAGAAGCCCTCAGGCCCCACACAGCCAGCCCAGTAGCTTGGAAACCCCACCAGTGACCACATCCTGCAGTCTGCTGGGGCGGGGACACTTTCTCAGGCCCTGACTCTGGATGCAGAGAACCTAATTTTGTTCTTCTACATTTTATTCTAAAATACACTTATTCTGCCAGGTAGAGGGAGCACAGCTTTTGTCAGCTTGAGATAAACTTCCAGCACTAAGTGAGGCTGAGACAGGAGCATTGCAAATTTGAGTCCTGCCAGGGCAACTTAGTGAGACCTTGTATCAAAATAAAAAATTTAAAAAGTAAAAGGCTAAACATAGTGTTATATACGGCATACATGAGATCACTTATTTAAACACACTTTTGAAAGAAAAGTTTATTCCAGTGAATGGAGACTAAAATCGGGATTCCAGCAGCTATCTGGGAAAAGCTGTTTATTACATCCGTGTGTGGATGGGCTGACACTGGGATAAACGGCAGCAGCTAGCTGGGAGAGTTCATCTGTGGGTAGATGGGCTAATGCCAGGAGAGAGATATTAGCAGCTAACTGGGAAAGGAATTAGGCTTATATAGGTATGGAAGGGGCTAAGGAATCTGGGGTGAAATATTTATGCTTGAGACCAAGGATAATCTGCATAGGTCTGCAGACAATCATAGGATTTTTCGGCACCAGAGCAGTTGTATCCTTCATCCTGTGTCTATTTGTCCTATTTACTGAGAAGTTGCTTTTGTTTGCTGACAGTAGCCTGTTTGTCTTGTCTTGTTCACTTAGGCCAGGCCTGACAATAGAATTATCACATGGTTCAGCCATCCCACTCCTAGGCACTGAACCCAAAGAATGCAAAGCAGGGACTCAAACAGGTGTTTGTACACAAGACATCATAGTATTATTCGCAAGAGCCAGTTGGTGGGTGTCTGTCCATCAACAGATGAACAGACTAACAAAATACATATTCCATCCACAGAATGGAATTTTATTCAGTCTCAAAAAGCATGGTGGTGTGTGTGTTGGCTTTGTATAGTAGGAAGTGTTCTACCACTGGGCTACACCTCCAGCCTCCAGCCTCCAAAAGGACTAACATTCTCGAGACATGCCATAACATGTGTGGACTTGAAAACATGCTAAATGAAAAGCCAGATACAGGCCCGGGGATTTAGCTCAGTGGTTCTGCCTCCTGCCTCAAAAGCGCAGGGTCCCGAGTTTGATCCCCAGTACCAAAAAAAAAAAAAAAAAGAGGGCTGAATCTGGTAAAATATGAATTCAAATTAAAATACAGTAACGGCATTTATTAGAAGAATGAAAAG